TTGTGTGTGTGTGTGTGTGTGTGTGTGTATATATATATATATGTATGTATATTAACAAATAAAACTTTACTAAAACCATTTCTTAATGGTACAAAAGTTTCAGTATAAACAACAAGAAGAAAGATGAACAATTTGATTGGTTGGTCACTTTCTGGTTTGGTATCTTAGCAATGATTTCTTGCCTTATTTTCAAGCTTGTTGGGTAGAGAAACAAATGAAAGTGAGTGGCAATCATCTTTTAAAGTAAAACTCTCTGTCACTGATGATTATTTAGCATGCATATTTATATTATACCTATTGAGTACCTTGGCCATCCCTACATATAGAGTCTACTGACTATTATATGTATATCTTAACAGTTTTGCTAAATTATCTTAAAAATACTCAACATATTCATTATTTAAGTAAGAGTAAAATAAAATACTCAACATATTCATTATTCAGGTAAGAGTAAAATAAAATACTCAACATATTCATTATTTAGGTAAGAGTAAAATAAAATACTCAACATATTCATTATTCAGGTAAGAGTAAAATAAAATACTCAACATATTCATTATTTAGGTAAGAGTAAAATAAAATACTCAACATATTCATTATTCAGGTAAGAGTAAAATAAAATACTCAACATATTCTTATTTTGGTAAGAATAAAATAATCTTTAACAGTGAGAATTAAAATATAGGTTACTGTAAATGATATTGCTAATAAAATATGTGATTGCCTATCCTTTAAAACATTTGAGCTAATTTCATTATTTTATAAACTAATGTATACCTCAATCCCAATATGATTATCCCCACATTAGAAAATAGTGACTGAATTTATAAGCAGGTTCACCAATGTGAATTTTCAATAACAGAATAAGTAATTATTGATTTTTATATTTTGTCCAAAGTGACATCCAATGTCAAATGGATTTTTCCCTACTTTATGGCTAAAATATACAATTAATATAATTATTAAGGTCTTGGCAAAATTATTTTTTTACAAGCAACAAGGGAATGGAAAATGAGAAGTTGATTCTGAAGTCACACAATGTTCAAGTGAGAGTGTGATAGATAGTTGACTCAAAAACTCACCTCTTGCAACATTCCAATAAACTCAGAGAAAGCCCAGTTCAACTGTGATAGAACACTACTGAGGAAAGCAGCTGCAGCTTGCTGATTCTGGAGTAGCCATTCAGTTACCATTTGTTGGAAAAACACTGATGGACAAGGTTCTAGAAGATAAATACACTGTATTAGTCAATACTGATGTAACATGTTTCCCATAGTTACATTAATGCTTCATTTCTTACTTAAGTTTCAACTAAATGCACAAGTACCAGTACATTTTATATATCTGTATCTATTAGAGAACAGTGAGCTTTGCATTCTAAAATTTCATTAAAATGAAATAATTCAGATTCTATTTAATTTGTGACAAATTTTCTACCTGACCCTTGAATATTCTGCTGAAAGCACATCTTACTTTTTTTTTTATATGAGTATCTTGTTTGATATGATAGTCGTAATAGAACTCCACCAGCTGCAGCAAGAGAACTGTGTTGGACATCATATTAGATTACATTTTTTTTCACATCACAACTTCTAAGAACATTAACAACCCATCTTTTAAAATATATCATAGAAGTTTGAAAAAATAAATTTTATATTTAGTCATAAATGTTCCCATGCCAATATAACCCACTAAAGAACAAGTTTGATATTATAACCTCAACCGTTTTACATGTAGACTAAGTATTTTCAGTAACCTTTATTGGTAAACTTCAGAACAATACTAATACAATGATCTCTCCTTTCTGCAGCATGCACAGTCCAAGCTCACCCGGCTCGCTGAGGAGGCAGGAAAGACAGGCCTGAAGATCAACACCAGAAAGACGGAGGTGATGCGGCTGAACAACAAATAAGAGCACCCACTGCAGCTGCAGGGAAAAGACATCAAGGAAACAGAGGCTTCGTTTACCTTGGAAGCATAGTAAGCAGAGATGGCAGCGCAGACGAAGACGTTAGGAGCCGGATCAACAAAGCAAGGCTCGCGTTCAACACCCTGCGACCCATCTGGAACTCCAAAGCCTTATCCCTGCACAGCAAGATCCTCATCTTCAACACAAATGTAAAAGCAGTCCTTCTATTTGGTTCCGAGACATGGCGAGTTACGAACACCATCACCAACAAGATACAGACGTTCATCAACCAGTGCCTGCGACACATCCTAAACATCAGGTGGCCAGAGAAGATCTCCAACACAGAGCTATGGAAAAGGACCACTCAGAACCCAGTCAGCAAAGACATCAGAAAAACAAAATGGGGCTGGATTGGACACACACTGCGAAAACCAGTCGACAATGTTACAAGGCAGGCCTTGGACTGGAACCCACAAGGGAAAAGAAAAGCTGGGAGGCCAAAATAGATGTGGAGAGATCAGTCGGAAGTGAAGCGAAGGCTGCCGGAATGGCGTGGACCCAGCTGAGGAGAGCAGCCCAGAACAGAGTCCGCTGGCGAGGTGTTGTTGCAGCCCTATGCTCTACCGGGAGTCTACAGGATTAAGTCAAGTAAGTCATTCCATTCTTAATATGTGGTAAGCCTCCTTCAACACTTCAGCTTTTCCAATTTCATTAAGCAAATAGTCATTAATAACTGTGTAGTAACACTGTCCTATTCACATATTGTTGTGAAGATCATAGACACCAGTTTTATGATACCTGTACAGTTCCCATCAATAAACTGAAACAAATTTTCCCGTAAATAAAAGTCAGTTAAAAATTCTGGTTATTGGGAACACAAAGATATGAAATTTATAGTAAATTATTGTGAAATAACTGACAATAAATTATCATGTAAGGCTTCTTTGCATAATAAAGAATTTAAAGAATAAAAATACATCTCCATTTCAATATATTTTAATATAATTTTATTACGACCATTATAATGTCCTCTTGCATAACATAATATTAAGCAATTTCTTAACTTTCTTAACACATTCACATGTAACGCATCATTAAGTACTGTACTGCTACTATTTACTAGGCACTATATACTGTTGAAGTTGTTTTTTTTTCAAGTTACTGTATCACAAAACATAACCGATAAAATATCGTGATCATATTTCTTTGCATCAGTATAAACTGGAAGAAAACCAAAGGTTATTTGAAAACAGTTCTTAGCATAGATTCTCAGAATAATGTAGAAGCAACAAATGAAATCTGATTACACTAGACTCAGACCGGTCACCTTTTATCCCACTGTGCATCTACCTATCATTCCTAATTATTTAATTTCAATAACACTTTCACTGCACTTTGCAAGACATTGATTTGGACTATGACTGGGTACATACAGAGCATTATCATATAGTTCATCAAGGTGGTCAACTCATGGAAGAGGAATTGTTGTAAAATTAAATTTTTGAACATATACCCTACCTTAGTATAATTTCTGTATGCAGCAAAACATGATTGAAACAGTCGTAACATTTTTACCTGTAGCACATTTCATCACATTATTTTTAAACAATAAAGTCTTTTAACTTACAGTTAACATTCTAGTATCCAAGGTTTTAAATATAACTGACATCATTTTTCAAACCTCTTTTTTATAAGTACAGTTTTGTTTAGCTATAAACTGTATACAAGTTTGTATTCTTGGTCAACATTTTAACAAAACTAATATCATAAAAATTTGTGCAACATTTATAGATGAAATATGTGTCTGTATATACATGAAATATTTCACTTCTGAAAACCTGTAGGTCTTTAGCAGTAACAGCAAACACCCAAATTGATGTCAAGTAAGAAATTCTGATCACATCTAAAAATAAACTTATATTGAAACAGGAATAAAAAGGTTATCATAAGCAATTTGTAATATCCACTGTACAACCTAAAATCAAAGAATGTTCTGATAGGAATAAACCAGGTGGTTATGGGCATATCTATGATATGCAACTATGCAAATTAAGAAAAATAAAACTTTTTCAAAATATATGTATATTTTGCAACTATGAAAGCTTAGAACTGAATATTTGATGAAGCTTTTTATTCTGGTATCCATGTGCCCATATTGAACAGGAAATTTCCACCTAACTGTTCATCCAGAAAACACTTTAAACATTGACAGTTTTAACAGGATAGTGTCATTTTTTGCTGTTTTTCTTGCTCAACTGGCCTCGAGGAGGTGTGATTGGACGATTTGAAGTCATTTTGCCATATGGAAAATTTTTCTTGTCAGCAGGTTTCAGGATCTGTAATGTTGATTTTTTTTTTTTTTTCATTTAAACAGTTTTACATCATTATAAATAACTTCAAGATGTAATAAAGAAATAATAATGATACATATTGCACATCAATTAATGTAAACATTATTTGGTATTATAGCATAATAAGATTTTAAGCATGCTCAAATTTTAAGACTTTACTCCTCTTACACAATGCTGTATGAAATAATTATCAGCATCACACTTTTGAAGACAAAAGTTAATCAGCATCACATAAGACATGACAAGCTAAAAGCTCTGTTAAGGATAACATACATTTCTTTAATATCTGTAAAATAAAACAAGGTGGGTTTTAAAGTAACATCTTTCCTTGCAATTTGCACTTGCAAGCTTCCTATGGATATTATTGTGAAGTTCTACGTGTGATGTAAGCTTACAGAATGATTACAAAACAAAAACAGCAATTTCTAATGTGAATTATGCTTAAAATAACAATTCCTTTGGGCTGGTTAAATGTTCTGACAATCTGCAGCTCTTGTTACAACACTATACAGACGTGCTTATGTTTTCCCTTCTCTTTCAAGAAGCAAATTAGCTTACCTGAAATGAACACATGAGTGTTTCATCGACACTCATCATGGCCCCTGCATTGTCAAATTCACCACAGTAGTTTGGAGCTGAGAAAAGTGTCACCAGCTGACGCTTTGCAAAGAATTCATATCCATCTTCTACAACCTGTAACCAAAGGATAAAAAACATATTAAATTAATAAACTATGTTCTGATCTATAGCTTATAACATCCTGTAAGTTATGCAAAATATGTATACTAACAGTCAATACAGACATTAATTCTGGTTCCTATAAGTCTCTCTTTGAGCTCAATTTTCACATACTGAATAGCACAACTTATTTCAATACTATTTCTTAGTTAATCTGAAAAAACTGAATGTATTTTTATTAACAGTTTACTAGTTTCTACTTTCAATCTGTAAAACATAATTTTTATTAACAGTTTACTAGTTTCTACTTTCAATCTGTAAAACATAATTTTTATTAACAGTTTACTAGTTTCTACTTTCAATCTGTAAAACATAATTTCATAATACTGCAATTCTTTATTAATTTTTAGACTTATAATCATCAACTCTTAGGCAAATTATACAATAGGCCTTCATTTTGGCTTTAAAGTGCCCCAAAATGAAATTTTTAGTTAATTTTGTTAATATCACAGTTTAAACTTAAATCAGATAAGCATAGTTCTGAAGTAGTTATATTGTATAAACTTTTTCTCAACCACAATTGGCAAAGTTTTGTTCTTAAATCACCTTTACTACTTTTAGTCACGGCAAAGTAGTCTAGAATCTGACTCAGCTCAGCTAGTTCACCAGACATGTTAAAATGGAATACACATTGTATTTTGTAACATATGACTACCCACAAGCAATTTTGCAAAATTTATTTTATGAAGACACACCTGATGAGCTCGACATATTAAATCCAGATCATGTTTGTGTAGAAACTTGGCTACTATATCAGCACCAAACGTGTAGGAAACACCACGATCATTTTCTCCCCATCCCATGACATCCTTATCTGGGTCTGACCAAAGTAAATCACACAAGAGCCCCTGGTCTGGTACATCTGTGGGTCGCATTATACGCCGAATTTGTTCCATCGACTGAAGATCTGGACTTAAACCTTATGAAAAAATTCATTTAATATTTTGACCTGCTGAACAAATTCAAATATAAGTATTTCTTATCAAATTGGCTCAGTTCTTTCAGATAGATTTATAACCAAACATGTATCTATATCATTTCTATGACTTTAATAATTCTATTTAAGTTTACAACATGGAATTATCATTAAAATTTTTAAAAACGTTTTCATGTGTATTATTCATAAGATTTGTAGCTCTCTCTAATCATATATATATAAAGGAAAGTTAACCTGCCTAAACCATAAGTTTAATAAGTAATATAAATAAAAGAAACTTTCACTAATGGACTTCCAACATACACATCATATAATGAAACAAGTTACACTTAATGCCACTTCTTACAAAGTGATGATCCTCAGTCATCTTATGACGAGTCAGTATCAACTGCCTTCACGACAAGTCACATTTCTCTCATCACTAATCTGGATACATTCAATATGCCATAAGAATTATGCAAGTAAGAGTCTGTTAAATTTACTTTACTGTAACAGTAAGGCTCATTTTCCCATGGGTAAATAATGAAATATTTTACAATGCTGCATCCTAAAGTTATTATTTAACAAAATAATCAAACTGCCTCTTTAATTTTCTATAATATGAAAATAAAATAAAAAGACCAATAAATATAATATTCTAACACTGCTGGAACAAAAGGACAATTCATAGCTGAATACTACTTCCCTTTAGGTGCACTGAAAAGTAATGTCAATATGAATTAAGAACAAATTACATCAAGAAATGAACCAAAAAAGGGTTTCTATCTCTAAGCTCTGCATGAATCTACATGAAATAGTAGTTATAGCAAGGTTTTCACTTAACAAGACAGACATAAAATTACCTCAGACTGTTTCATATTCACTAACCTCCATGACAACAGAAGATCTTTTCATCAACAATAGCAGCTACTGGCAAACAGTTGAAACAGTCTGTGAACGTCTTCCAGAGTTTAATGTTGTATCTTCTTTTACCTTTGAACCATAACAAGTTATATGTTATTGACTTTATCAAATTGTACTGAGGAAAGCAAAAGCTATTTGACAGATGCCTTGACATTTTTTATAACTGAGTAACATTACAAATCTTTCTGACAATATTTAATATTTTAAACCAATACATTCAAAAGTATTTGAAAAAGGTTTTAAATCTCTCAACACAGGCTCAGTCAATTTGACCAACCACGTGACCTCTTTGTAATTGTTTAAAATCTTTATACATTTAATAATTTAAAACTTTGACTTCCTATATAATTGCATGTAAGAGAAAACTATTAACGAATTCTGAAAGAGAGGATGTGACAGGTAGGCATGGCAGGAGGGGTCTGATTTTCTATTACATAGCTCTGTAACCAAACAAAATTGAAGACTAAATAAAAATTATGGTTTGTTAAATCGATAATAATTTTATAGAGTAATTTACATTTAATTTCATACTTTTTTTTGAGGGGTGGTGGATAAAATAGGAAAGACAACATGCTAAGAGAAAATGTGTCACATGGGAGACATTAGGGACAATTCGAGATTTTTTTAAATATTGCCTTGTAGAATTAAGAACATAAAATTATATACTATTAAAATATGGATTATTAGCTAAGATTTTATGCTATTCTAATTGGCATAACACAAACAAAAAATAGTTTAATAAAATTTTGAATGTAAGACACTAAATCCTTGTTTCATGCGCAGTAAATGATACCTATGGCAATAGGGTCAACCCTCTTGCCACAGGCATCCTTTACAGTGCATGCTTTGAGGTTTTTTTAGTTAGGTTTCTTAAGGTTTTAGAGACTTACATTCAAAATTTAATTAAACTACTTTTTGTTTATGTTATACCAATGATTATAGCATAAAATCATAGCTTAAGCCATTTTTTAATAGTATACAAGTTTTAAGTTTATAATTTTATAAGGCAATATTAAAGAAAATCCTGAATTTCTCCTAGTGTGAGAAATGAAATTTTTTTCTAGGTATCCTCTCTTCTCCAATTTATTTAAAACCCCTCCAATAAGTATGCATATGAAATTTGAGATTTTTGAGATGAAGAAAAGTATTTTTAATCTTAACATGAAAATCACTTTGCACTCAAACTAGTAAAAAAAAAGACTAGATATATTCATGGAAAAATCTTTTAGTTTATTAAAAAATACTTCACTAAAAATCTGTTTTTTGTATATGAAAGACTTATAATATTTACTGAAATTGTGCTAAATTTTGCGAAGATACACATTCCGTATTAAAAGCTAGTAGTAGCTAAACTATTATGACTTTTAATTAATACAAAGTGGTCACATGGTCGGTTATTTCGACTGAGCCCAGGTAGTGAGAGAGAGTTAAAGCACATTGTTATTAGTCATGTACATAGGAAAATTATATTAGTAAACTAGATATAAAAGATTAAAGAAAGGCTTCATTGTGTGTGTGTGTGTGTGTGTGTGTGTGTGTGTGTGTGTATTTATTTTCAAATTCCACAATTTTCTCTTCTGCATTACTTGGAAGAATCCTACATTAACCTCTCAGTTCAAATTATGTATTAACACATTTATCTCTAATAGGTATAGCTTTTGTGTTTCGTGAATAAGCATAAGAAGAATTTATTACTACACAAAAATATAACAAACCACCATACTTGGTTAAACTATCATGTGCATATAACTGTTCTTCTGTACGTACTTAATTAACCATAGCTATAAACATGTAACAGATGGGTGCACTTACATTCATCATAAAAACCATAAATCCTGTTGATACTGGCACATTCATGGTTTCCACGAAGAAGGAAAAAGTTTTCTGGATATTTTATTTTATAAGCTAATAATAGGCATATTGTCTCCAAAGACTGCTTCCCCCTGTCTACATAATCCCCCAAGAATAAGTAGTTACTCTCTGGAGGGAATCCCCCATACTCAAAAAGTCGTAAAAGATCATAAAACTGCCCATGAACATCTCCTGGAAAAAAACATAAAACATCAGTACTAACAAAATTGATAAAATCATTTTTATATGACTGCATGTTCTATCATGAAAGCCAATCCATAATGGATAAAATAATAGAAATTAAAGGTTTACCACTTTTTCTTTTCACACCACACAAGAACTTATTCCAAAAGGAAAGCTTTTTCTCTTACTTTCAGAGTAACCAGTGGTTATCGTAATCTTGATTTAGCTACTGAAAAATTTGTATGAATATCAAAGATGGTTAGGTGTTAAACATTTTTAACTCTAAATAAATAAGAATGATATTCTAACCTAAATAGACACACTTATACAAATATATTAACAATAGATTAAAGACAGACACTACCATAACCCATATAAACACACACACAACAGTTATACAAATAAACGTTACCCTGTCAAAAGTATGTAGATGCCTCTAAAGTAACATGGCATACCCAGCATGTTTCACACAGAGATTCAGTGAGTATAAAAATAGTCATACATCAGAAAAATATTTAGGTTGTGTTAGTGTGTGTAAAATGCCAAAATGTTATAACCTGTGTGAAATTCAGAGAAGAGATATTATAGGCTGTTACAAGTGAGAAAAACTGATAATTGATCATGTCACAATGCTTGGTCAAGCAAATCTGCCATTCACACCACTACTCAAAAAACAAAGCTTGACCTTAAAAATGTTCAGACTGATCATAAGTTTTGTCAGAGGGTGTCAAGTGCTCACTTGTTGTCAGGATTGGAAAAGTAAATATGGTGAGAAACCTTTACTGTCTTCAATAAATGTGGACACACAAGTATAGAACCCAATGTGGAGTGATGAGAGCTGGCTTACCTTGTTCTGAAAAAAATGGCCAAGTATGGGTGAGGAGACAAACAGATGAATTAATTAACCATGACTGTGTTTGTGTCTAGTATGTATGATTCTGACTTTCTACACTATTTATTTCATTCCAACTTTGTCTCTTACTTTAACTCTCTATTGTACATTGTAACATACAGGTAACAAATTTGTCTTTGTTGCTTAATACACATACAAAAGCTTCAGTTCTGTAGTTGAATGCTCTTACTTCCAGGTAACTGTTTAAATAAACCATGGAATTATTTTTGTTGATTCCTCAATTGAACAATGTTACTTCTAGATAATGTACACATTTATAACTTACCAAAATATATTTCACAAGAATATATTTTTGTGCAATACAGACCTATTTAAGTAAGAAATTCAAATTACATATATTTTTCCACTATATTTTCCTAATATTTGCAATAGAAGATTAAAAAAAAAAGACTTTGTTCTGCAAAATGGTCAACTTTCATTTTTCAAGACCTGTGCACTTCAATTAACCTACAATATATCTTAATAAACAATTTCATACTTACTATAAGGTTAATAAAAACAGTTATACATACCACATATTTTAAGAGGAGCCTCTAATTCTAAGAGGATGGGTTGGCTGAGAAATATCTCTCGTGACTTTAAACACAATCCACGAATTTCTGCTTCACTTAACTGTACATTTTTACCTGGACGAGATCCTCTTACTGAAATAATGAAAAACATTCATGAACTAACAATATATATACTTCTGCAGCAAAAACATAAAAATGATGCAAGTACAATAAGGTTTAATTTAGACACACCAGTGTAGTTCTATGGCAAAAAAAAGGGAGGCATTCAATATTCCAAAACGTAGCTTATATTTTGAGAACAGAAGAAAGTCACAATTTTGCAACTTCAAAAGTTTTGCTTGAATTTTAACCACAAATAAAAGATTAAGACTTGACCAGTATTTATCTTATTTATGAATTAAAAATTGACAAATAGGTTACAGTTCCTTTTCTCATCATCAAAATTGTTAATTTTGGTAGAAAAGAATCATGAAGCCAGTTTTATTCCTGGATTAATCCTGTATCTTTTTTTCTTTCTTTTTTACTAAAATACAAATGTTTACTGGTTTGAAACACCACAGTATTTTAGCAAACATTAATTGTTACCATTAATGCAGGTTACTTAATACAGTGAATAAAAGAATGTTATAGAAGCCATACACATGTTTAAACATTCAAGACAGTGACTCAATGATAATTTCATATCCTCATCAGACCAATCACACACATGTTTGATGCAGGAGTGGTGTAATAAAATAATCTGCCAAATGCCTAGTGATCTAACAAACAAAGATGATCAATTAAAACATTATAATACAAAAACTAGTATTAGCTTTAATCACACCTTTCTGTAGTAGCTGAGTCTGGCTCTGTATGTTTTCTCCAAAACAATGTTTTTTGCTATACATATTTTTAGGAAAAATTAATATTACTTTCCTATCAGAGCAAGCTATCTACTTAGATTCAAACTAAAAATCAATTTGGAAAATGTGGTAATGGGTTTAGCTAAATAAATGTACTGTTCTTACAATATTACTTATGACAATTACAATATACTGTTTCATGGGCACCCTCAACATAACCCAATAATATCTGATGAGGTTAGGTCAGCTTAAGAGATTGTTTAGACTTAGATTAATATAATGAGCTCATTGCAATAATTCTATATTAAAAAATAGTAATAATAAGGTAATAAAAACGGGTAAGTTAGACATTCTAATCAACAGTTAATGGAAGTAGCATTAAAGAAAGGATAAAACATGTACTTTACTTATGGAACACAAACCTAGTTATCTACTTCAGGTAAAAAGACAAAGACTTTCAAATTAATAAGCCATATATCTTAGAAACATGCATACAAGGTTGGTTTAAACTTAGTTTTACTGAACTGTCAATATTTCTTAGCTCAACCATTTGCAAGTCCCACAAACCTTGGTATTAAGCATGCAACTTTTTGGGTTCTCTGTAGAAATTTGGTTAAGAAACAAAAATTTCAATTTGAATCTTTTGACTCTGAAAAATAATTAATAAACCTGACAAAGTTCTGAGCAGTAAGCCATCAGAAAGTATTATTACATTTAGTACTAATAGGTTAAACTCTCTTTAAGCCTACTATATAAATGCTAAATCAGCAATTTATTCCTAAGCTTATCTTTACAGAAGACTATGCCTCTTTCGTTAAAGCAGATATTCTGGATATCAAGAATAGGTAGCCTTAATTGTACAACTGGCCTTTTGTTTACTGTTTTTCCTAAGTCTTTAGACTTCAGTATTGTCTGTGATGACTTAGAACAGATATTGATAAGCTCAACTCTACATTTAACCAAAATCAATATTCAATACAAGATATAAAACCTTGTTTATACTGACAAACACAAACTTTCATGTAGTTAACTAAAATCAAATGACTGACTTAATATTCAATACAAAATATAAAACCTGATTTCAGTGACAGTTTGAGGAACAGATAAAACATTGATAATAAAAATAATTTTTCATAAATGCAGTGAATGATTAAAAAACATTAGATATATACATATCTAGAAAAACAACTGAATAGAAATCTACAAGTCTGTTTCCAAATAGTGAACAGTCACATCATCAAGTAATAATGTTAGTTTCTGTATCAAGTGTTAAGATCTTGTTCCATTCCTTGTAGGATTAAGTTGTCAAGTATAGCCTCAACTAGCTTAATAAAGATAATAACAAGTTACACCCAGGAACTGTATATAACACATAAAGACAACTTACACAAGATAATTCATAAAAATTGGACAAGTGACATTCACATTCTGAGCAGCAAATCCAGTTACGCACCTAAATGGTATTGCCCCCAGAAGAGATAGAAACAAACAGTACTTATCCTCTCTGTGTTCTTAAATTGGTGGTTAAGTATTTCTAGACCACAGTTCAACATGCGTTAACTCTTTCAGCATGGGCTCAGCCCCTAGGACCAACCTCATAACTATTTTGTGCTTGTTATAGTTTTCATGCTATAACTTATAAATTAGTAAGTGTATGTTCACAAAATTTGGCAGATTATCAGTAAGTGTTACAAATATGCAAAATATCTGATTTTAAAAATTAAGTCTTAAAGTTTGCTAGGCAATGTTTTCCCCATGCCATTTTTCTTTTTGCACATTCCATATCCAACATGAAAAGTAATTTTCATCTTAAGATTAAAAATACTTTTATGAGTCAGAAAATTTTCAAATTTTACATGATAAATCTTTATAGCATCCAGATAGTTATTAAATGTTTCTTAAGAAAAAATGTTATATCTTATTTGTTATTTTCACTAATAAATCTCTGTACATGTTTGGTCAATTTGACTGATCTCGTAACCACCATTAAAAATTAGGAAATTAATATAAATTACACCTTTTAACATGAAAACACAAATGTTCAGACTAAATAGCTTAAATCTCATAACATTTTACATTTATTATTTTCATTATATTGACCTTTCAGTCCTGCCTAGCTAACAATACTGAAGTTACAATGACGCGGTGAACATGCATTCATGTTACCATATCTAATAATATAAAGCTAACCTTTAGTTTTTACAAACTGACCTGTCTTAGCTGTGTTTTAGTGGACTAGTATTTTGTAAAATAGAGTCACATTTCAATTATTATATATGTATATAGATTATTGCTATTTTGAAATAAGTTCTTAAACTTATTTTTCTTAAAACATAGAACAGTAAGTAAAGAAGTAAAGCAAACAATTCTCTTCTAGTTACAACCATTGTACTCAGTTGCTGCTTGACATAGGTTGCTAAGTCAAATAAAAAATTCCACATGTGGAGGATGCGAAATGAAAATTTTTTTAGATTTTATAAATATACAGTTGAATAACCAAAAATTCATAAATTACTATATTGATACCATAGAATTCCATTATAATTTATGAAGCTTAGTAACTAAGCTTGAACTTTTGTATCAAAAGAATGAGATGACATCACAATACTTGAAAATGGCTGAGAAAGCAACTAAGAGGATATTCTGAGCTTTAGATTGGTTATTCACATGTCATAGATAGAAGTAAATATACATAAGGGAGCATTTCCAAAATTAGAAAGAGGAGAGGGGGGCCACTGTGTTTGTTTCAGTACATGAGCAATATCTCAGCAAATAAAAAAGATAGAAGGTTTTTATTTTATATTCTATGTTGTCAATATCAGTAAATTAAGTCCCTAATTCATACAAAACTATAGACTTTGTATTTTGACATCACACACATCCAATTTTAACCAGTGATGCATTCAATGTACCATGTGACACACAAAAACTGATGTTTTGGTGTGTCTTTTTAATATTTACTTTTTAATTAAAAATCAAATAAATTATTATACTAAAATTTGAATTATAATCTACAGTTTGATACCAAACTTATTGACATAAATTCATAAAATAGTAGTTCAATAAAATTTTGAATATGAATCAACAAACACAATGACATGGCCTTTGACCCATGGTGAGGGGGTTAATGTCACGTTTACAATTATTAAAAACCACCAATAAACTTGTAGATTCAACATCATGTTACATCATAAATCGTAGTTCAAGCTTAGTTAAGGTGATTGCACAAAATATAAGTTCTTTACTGAAGGTATGTGTATATATAATGACTAGGTGTTAGCAGATGCTCGAAAACAACAATGATAGTGTAATTCCTCACACAAGTCAGGGTTCATACAAAAATTTTAAGATTGTTTTCCAGGATTTTTCAGGAGGCATACAAGCTCTGACGAGCTTGTCCACGACATTAGATAGATAAAACAGCCACTTCTCATTTTTACTAAAACAGCTCTTCATTGTTGAAGTACTGAGCAAAGGTCAGCTAATGAAAGAGAAACTATTTGATTGTACTCTCAGGCTGGGTATCATTTGGCTATTATTCATTGAAGATAAATCTTTCTTATAATTCAAAACTAATAGCTTACACTTTTTTTTATTAAAAAGTTCAGGAGATAACCTGTAAACACAACTGAAAATAATATCAATTAACCTACAACTTTAATTTGTATAAATCTAGCAATACAAACAAATTATTTTTTCCTTTTAAAATGAAATTCATCATATTATTGACTTAACCAATATCATTTAAACAATATGATAATAAATAATTAACTTTGGTAATATTACACACACCATACAAAACAATATTAAATTTTAAATATCTTACATGTAATTTAAAGACAAAGGACCTATTGATCCATATATACTGTTCCATCCACTAATTTAAACTTTAAATTTAAAATAACACTCAAAGTTAGTCCTTATTACTCAAATATTTATCAACCTTCCCTTATAAACTCCCTAAATTAATTGCATCAACCACACCATTCCAAAAACCAACCACCCTATTAGAAAAATAAAGCTTCTACCCAACCAAAATTTGTATTTATGTCCCCTAATTCTACAACTTTCACCATGATTTCTTTCAGTAAGAGCTTGGTCCCTTGGACCGACCTCATAACCATTCTGTACTTCTTATAGTTTTCATGCTATAACTTTTAAATTAGTAAGCAAATGTTAACAAAATTTTGCAGATTATCAGTAAACATTACAAGGCTTTCACATGCAAAATAGCTAATTTTTTTATTAAGTCTTAAGGTTTATAAAGCAATTTTTTTTCTCATGTCCTTTTTTCTTTTCGTATGTTGTGTATCTATCATATTCATTTTAAGATTAAAAATACTTTAATGCACCAGAAAATTTTGAAATTTCAAATGAGAAATCTTTATAATGTCAAGATAGTTATTAAACATTTCTTAAGATAAAACTTTATATTTGATCTGTTATTTTCAGTAATTAATCTCTGTACAGGTTTGGTAGATTTGAACAATCTCACAACCACCATAAAAAATTAGAAAATAAATATAAATTATGCCTTTTTCATTCTAGAATGAACACAAATTACAACACAAAAAAGATAAATGTTTAGTCTAAATAGCTTAAATCTCATAACATTATACATTTATATATATTTATTATTTTTATTATATTGACCTTTCAGCCTACAGACTTAGTATTTTGACATCAAAAACATCCAATATGAACCAGTGCTGCATTCAACATACCAAGCGACATGCAAAAATTGATGTTTAACTGTGTTTGTTTAATATTTACCTTTAAATTAGGAAATTAAATAATATAAAATCCTAAAATTTTAATTATAATCTACAGTTTGATATCAAACTTATTGACATAAATTCATAAAATAGTAGTTCAATAAAATTTTGAATAAGAATCAACAAATGCAATGACATGGCCTTTGACCCAGCTGGAGAGGGTTAATCATAAATTATTTACAAGTAATGAAGTGACTTAATTTTCAAAATACTTCAAAGGCAAATAAAAATGTATAAATCATATACAAGTTTATCTTCAAATACTTCAGCGTACAGTGATCCCAATACACGAGACCTACATAGCACTTAGTACTCCATACAAAAACTCAAAATTCAAACTCTGGATATGCTTTTACCAGTCGTGGTCAACATCTTATCCAGAGTCTGAATTGTAGACCTCCCATGTCTTTGGAACAAAAATAGCTTGTATTTTCAGTTAATTTTTCAAGTTAGTTGTAAAATGAAGGTCCAAACTAGGTAAGCTCCTAGTAACACTATAGTTGTAAGATTATAATTAATTATCTTTGTGCATTTATAATAATAATAGTAAAAAATTAGTTGAATCTGAATACTGAAAACATTCTAACAAGAACTAACACTACTACCATACACTACTAATAATGGTACAAACTGTACGTTTCAGTTTAAGTTTAAAATCCCTATAAAATGGCAACCAAAAGTTGATTCACGGTAGTTACAATCTATTCATTATGTCATTTTCAATATTGGAGTTTCAGTAATGCTATTTGCATGGGTAGAATTTGAAAACCAAATGCATGTGTGTGGATTGGGAGGTAGTGCAAAAAAGTTAGACTGAATTATTTTGAATGTCATGTGTACTATATCCCACAAGAAAAAAAGGGGGAAGAAGTTGCCCCCCCCCTTGCATCTCCTATAGTCCTGCTTATTATTGCTTGTGTAAATTTGTAGTTTATTTTTTTAAACCTTAGTTCTTGGATATATACTTAAGTAAAGAAAGTAGATAATTTCCATTTTACTTCAGAAAGTTTAACTTTAATGTATGAGGGCACCCAATAACATAACAATATTTAGAGGCAAAAAAGGACTTGTTGGTCCATTTCGGCTGTCCCATTCTCTAAACTAAACTAAAATTAATTAATTAAAAAAATAAAAATCTTAAAACCAGCTTTTATCATTTATATAGTTATCAAGCTTTCTCTTAAACTTAAATTTACTGCCTCCACAATATCCAAAGGTAACCCACTCTAAAGGCCAACCACCCTGTTAGAAAAATAAAACTGTCTTAATTGAAGATGTCTCCTACCTTCCCAAACTCTATGTGCATCCTCTAGTCCTACTATTCTCAGCATTAACTGTGAAAAAAGATGATATATCAACATTATCAATTCCCTTTACAATCTCAGATACCCCAATCAGATCCCCTCTAACTCTTCTTTTTCAAGAGAAAACGTTTTCAGAGATCTGATACTCTCCTCATATAAAAACTCCTCCAATGTCCTTCCTAAGCTAAGGAGCTCAAAGCTGAACAGAATACTCCAAATGTGACCTATACAATGATATTATAACCTCTTTAGACTTGTATTCAATATTTCTATAGATACAACTTAAAATCCTATTTGTCCTACCACTAGTAACAGCACACTGCTTGGATGGCTTAAGAGACTGATCAACCATTACACCAAAATCCCTTTCTTTCATGACACTGTTAAGGTTATTCCCATCCAAATTATACTTATATTTTAAATTACGATAACCCACATGCATTATCTTTCATATATAATAATCAAAAGTCATCTGCCATTTATTTGCCCAACTCACTAAATTATCTAAATTCTTTTGCATTTTCTTCACAGCTAGCAACACCCAAGACCTTAATATCATCAGCAAATTTAAGTACTTTATTGACTATTCCTTCATCTTATGTCACTGATGTAAATTAAAAAGAGCAAAGGTCCTAAGACTGAGCCCTGAGGTACCCCACTTGTGACATTAATCCAGTTTGATGGAACTCCATTTATAACAACCCTCTGCTTTCTTCCATCCAGCCACTCTTCTATCCAATTAGCTAATTTATCCCCCCACACTTATACAGATAAATCATTTTTTAGAAGTATTTTATATCACTGCCTTTTCTACATCATTCCCAGTACTAATGAACATGAAGAATAGATCAAAACAATATACAGCAATCTATCACTGGCACTTGTGTATTTTTGAAACCAACCTTTGTTGTAACTATGTGAAATAAAAACACTATTTTCTTCTCTTAAAGCCACTGACTAAAAGATTCCTTTGATTTACAAATTACATTGAAAAAAATATAAAACAGTTTCATAAAATATGTTGCCTATGAACTTTTTTTGCAACATACTTATGCCAGTTGTAACAAATTTCATGTGTTTTATAACATTAATTCATGTAATCCCAACCCAAGTACTTAAGAATCAATATCTAACATAATGTATGAATAAAAATGGACCATTTGATCCTTCAAGGCTGTCATCCATCCCTTAAGAAAAAGTAAAACATTTAGCCTACACTTTATTTTTCAGGATATTATTGATTCCCCTACTAAACTTTCTTAGAGTGATGCCTCCACTACCACCAACAGAAACTCATAACATATGTCAATCACTCTGTTAGGGGGAGGAGTCCTCTCATCCTATTGTCTTCAGAATATAGCACAATGCCATGGATAACCTTGTAAACTTCAATAAGATCACCCTTTACCCTTCTTTTCTTATGAGAAAATAAAAGATCTTACCAAATTGCCATAAGATAATCCTTACTGTTTACATACATTGAATCATACTAGTACTAGTAGTAGCCCTCCTCTGAATTATTTCAAATAAGTCAATATCCTTTTTCAAACAAGAAGACCAAAATTAGATATAGTGGAAAATGACTGAAACTTTAACTTGTAAGACACTCATTGATTTAATTTATCTTTTGGACAGTTGAATAAAACAATCTTCCAATGAATTATTACCTTAATTAAGGTACCTAGGTCTGCTCACAAGTACCTACAGTTCAAGTAATTAACATTCAAGCCATGGATGAAATGTTTTAGCATAATGTTAGGTATCCAATTTTAGCCTGGAGTGAAACAGGGATGTTGGAACCATGCCTTAGCTTCATCCAAAAGTGGCAAAGCAGAGGTATTGTTAATAAGTAATGTGATTAATAGTACACTATAATTTCAAATAATAGAACATATAAAGTTAAAATTTTAAATTATACTTGTTAATACTATTAATCTGGTAGTGGTACTAGTAATAGTATTAGCTAACTTTAACTGTTCGGTGTTCTCTTGTTTTTGTTTTAGAAATAGAAGGATAAGTTATTAGTAACTATTAGTACTATCTTATGTTTCTAACTTAAATATTAAGCTAAAGAAGGGCACAACATTGTAAAAGTAGAGAATATGTTAACGTATAAACTTGTTTAAACGACCAACAATGTATTAATAATAATACTAATAGAATGATACTTAAGTTAATTTACCACGACCATAATATTAATATTATAAAGAGTAGCGAGAAAACAAACTACAGCTAGGCCTAATTCCATCGCCAAATAAAATATACAATTACAAACCTTCCAGAAGTCGGGCTATAATATTGTCGATGTTTAATTTGTCAGAATCAGCCATTTGATAAAATCTGTAGAATGGTTTAATGGTCTTAAGACGAAGCAGAATATCAAATCCTTCCCCTATATGCTAATCCTAGATATATATAAACTAAATGACTTAAAAGAAAACAGTGGCATGAATATTTCAAAACCAACAATCATGTGCCTAATAAACACTCGGAACTATTCGGTCACACCCATGTGAAATCCTCGTCAAAATGGCAAAGTTGGTCTGTTATTACAAACGAAAATTTTATTTTTATATAATAATAAATACTTATTTTCTTGCATCTGTCATAGGTATTAAACTTACGATAGAAAATGAACAAAATAATCGATTAGTTTATTACTACACTCTACAAATAGGAGTTAAAGAAATATTTCCATTTCCATATACCCAGCTTTGCTACATGTCACCATAACATAACAATACATTTTGATATTGCTATTCAATGAGAGACGCAAAGAATCATAATCAGGACTAAATCGTAAAAATAGATCAATTAGAGTATACTCAACTATATGAAAATTTTAGTTAGAGGTTAGAAGCAAAGAATCTTAAATATGTTAAGCTTATCACCTGAAAGAAACAAATTATAATAAAACGGAGAGAGCTAAGGTTCGATGAAACATACTTTTAAGTTAACAATCAGGACAATCTAATCGACCAAGGCCACAAGATATAGAGTGTAAAAGATAAAATATGTGGACAAATAGAATACATACAGTGGCAGCGAAACCTTATCTCACACATTCAACATGTATTCATAAATTTGACATTGTGGTAATTGGAATTGTTAAAAGATGCTTTATTTGTGCGATGTCCTCATGTAAAACTGATATTCCCCAAGAGTGAATGAGTCCACGATGTAATTGGAGATTTGTTCAGGAAATACTATGAAGTAATTACGAATTCCTCTGAAACTGAGTGTGTGTAAGGAAAAAGATCAGACACAATGTAGACAAACAATGAAAATAATCTTTATTTTAAACGAAAACAACACTGTAAGTATTAGTTTAGCACAAAAGA